TATCCATGTTGTGCTGAGGCTGGGGGTGCCAAACGTAAGCCCTGGAGCACGCTGGAGCAAAATACCTTTCCACTGATGGAAGGCATTTATTTTGATTGCAGATACAGAGTACAGAAATGGCCAGCGGTCAGTTCAGAAATTACCAGCTAAAGGAATAAATCAATAGTCTTGGGTGTGAGACAAGAAGTCCCCAGTCCAGTGGGCCACCAGCCAGAACCACAGGGGGAACCCACAACAATGGACCACCAGCCAGAACCACAGGGGGAACCCTCAACAAGGGGCCACCAGCCAGAACCACAGTGAGAATAGGAAACAGAGGCCACTGACCAGTACTACAGGGGGAATCTGAGATAGAGGCCACCTGCCAGTACAACAGGGACCGTCTGGGATAAAGACAACCAGCTGGTACCACTGCGCAAATGTGGGATAGAGCCAACCAGCTGGTACCACCGGGCAAATGTGGGATAGAGGCAACCAGCCGGTACCACAGGGCAAATGTGGGATATAGGGCTACCAGCCGGTACCACTGGGTGCATGCAGGTAACAGCAGAGTATTGTTTGGTATGCCATATTGAGACCTGAAGCATAGTAAGGTGCTCAGATACCATACTGACCTTGTCTGCACCAGTACTCTTCAAATATTCCACCATTGCACAGCCACTGGTGCGGCACCACGTGGACTATTGCAGGCAGGCTGCCAGGAGTTTTACAATCACGTCATCCAGACCAGCGCTGCGTAGGTTCATGGGGTTATGTATTAGCACTCCCATCCATTGCCTCTGGTGCGGAGCTGGCCCTGGTGCCAGTGTGAAGGTGGAAGACTTGCAGAAAAATGGCTTGCATAGACACAGCCAGTGTTGAGCTACAAAGCTTGTAACATTAGTGATCTACAACCACCCCAAACCAGAGCAAAATGTTTCGCACAGTGATTTCTGGAAGAGCCCACTTTTGTAGGATCTGTAAGAGGAGTTAGAGATGTCTGCAGAATTACTGGAAATAGCCTGGGGCAGAGTTTTTGTGTGGGGACAGCTGAGTCATCCAGGTTTGTAAAATACATGTCTGGGTGTGATTTTCTGATTTTGTACCAGACGTGTCCCATTGAGGGTCTGGCTTGAACTGACAAGATCAAAGAAAACTCCAGTAAAAGTACACTTCTACCCTAAAAAGTGACTCTGTAATAATGTCATTGTAGGACTCCATATCCATTGTGTCTCATTGCTCCCAGATCTGTTGTGATTAGTTTAACTGTATCAGCCCCACAAACTCATTCTGGGATCTGAGAGGCAAGCTGGGTTCTTTATTTCTCATCATCCCTAGTAACAGATGTTCTGGAGGTCAAATTTCATCAGCTATCCCTGTGATGTCCTAGTGTCTTCAGATGATGTAACCAGTGACACCTGCACAAACCCACTTAAAACTACACAGGTACACAGGTTCCAACGGGGACAAAGGTATTGCTCTGGTGTAAACTGAGGTTATAATTTGGGGTGCAGAATCTTTATTGTAGGCAATGAGGGTGAGATGAGAAAAGCCTGTCTGACTCAGAGCCCAGGCTAAGTTTGTGGGGCTGGGAGTTGGCAATAATACGCTTTTACCTGCAAACTGAGAATATCTGATTTGGCATCATTAAGAATCAGTGAATATTGGAACCCACATTGCCAGGTCTGCAGGGCTACTTTTCAGGGTGTGAAACGTTTGCAGGGCTACTTCTCTAAGGTTATCAGTCCATACTTTGTCTACCCATGGTTCAACACATCCGGTAAAGCAAAGACCTCCCATACCCCAGCAGAGCAGGATGAATGGAATCTGTCCTGGGAATTGGGATATCCTCAAGCAGCTATTATCTGGTACAATCAAAACCACAGAGCTCACAATTCAAGAGAGAAAATGTAAGTAAAAGAACATATGTATAATACATTAGTTGAGATCTTATAAGTTCTAGTACTCAGTGACCCTTTCTTTGTTTCATTGGGTAGTTGACAGATTGAGGAGGGAGATCAAAGAAGAGACTATACCTCACCAACACAAAGTTCTATGGTTTGAAAACTTTGGATGTGTCCCCCGATCCTTTGCACTTGACTGAGAGTAGAGGCCTTTCTCCTGGTTTGGAGAATACATTATATAGTGATTTTATAGACTTTAGTGACAAGCAGTGATGCATCACCCAGCGGAGTGTCATACAAGAATCATAAATCACAATCTCCCAGGAACTTGTGAATGTCAGGCACTTGAATTCACTGATGTGGTATCCATGGTGCTCTGCCATGTCTCACATCCCCATCTCCTTCCCAAAATAGCCTAATTCTAAAATATTATTCAGCACTTGGAGTGCTGCCATAGCACAGGAGACAGTTGAGAAAACATAGAAAATGTGTCTTCTAGTACAAAGAAATATTAAGATGCACTTTCTGAGGCTCCGTTCAAACCAGAGACAGAAGCTACTTTCATGATACCATAATAAATGGGGCAGGACAAAGCTGTCGGGTTAATAGAGGGTGAGGTAGTGCAGTCACCTCACACACTGGAAATCACCCATGATGAAGCCTCAACATGAAGCTGTATTTCTACAAAGAAGAATTGTATTGGACCCTTTCAAATTTGGAAGCAAATCTCTCAAAGCTACACTATGCTTGCTGGGACATAGTCTCTTTTGCCTACAAGTACAATTATTCTGACAATTAGAGCCAACAGGAAATTTTCAAACAAGAGTGCAATAGATATGCCGGGAAGGATTTTCAAAAGCTCCTAAGTGACTTGAGCACAAGTACCACTGAAAATGCTCCTAAGTCACACCTACCTGTTGCATCCAAAAAATCCTGTATTCAGAGCACAGACAGACAGTTATGGCTGCAAATAGATAATGTCACACACAGACACTTATGTGCCCACTTATTGATTTATACAAGCAAATATGGCAGTTTGCATGTGCAATCAGTACATTCTATTTTCAGACACATCAGTGTTGTGTAAACTTAAAAATTTGCCCTTAAAAGTTAACCACACTGAAATACCATTTAAATGTGATATAAACCTGTAGACAGTTTAAAATGAATTCCAAAGGCCAAGGCAAACCGATAGAGAACACTGAAATGATTGACTTCATACACAACTAAGGCAGGCAATTTTCTTCAAGCAACAAAAGTCACTTGTCCACTTTGAAAAGTATGTTTCTATCTTCACGACTATCAGTTATAGTTTACATATAGATTATCTATTCTCCCATCTTCTTATTGATGGGGAATGTATTGTGTGGAACTCGCAGGAAAGCCAACAGCAGATGTGTATAAATCATCTATCTGCACATCTAAGGAAGAATAGACCCCCCTGAGCCTCTTCAGTTAAGGAAGGAAGGTAGATTTTATTTTAAACATAGAAGTAACTGAACAATATTGTACAGTAAATTGATTAAAGATCAACTAAAATATCTGAGAGGGAGGAGCATGTTGCCAGGCCCTGCCCAGGGGATTCCAGCAGTTAGTCCCATGTGCTCTGGACACACCACTCCGTGCTCTGCACCCCAGCCTGGGTGCACTCCCCATGCTCATCATCTCAGCTTAAACACGTATCCCATCATGCTCAGTGTGAGCTCAGGCCCTGCTGGATATGAAATAACAATAAACCCCCATTTCTGATGGAGGCCTCATGTGTCCCACCATCCACATGTCCTTCCTTGCCCCTTTTTAGCCCCCTGCCCCCTGGAAGGTTAGTGGTGTGTCCCTCTGCTTCCTCCTCGCCAGTGCTCTACCCAGGATGGAAGTGCATTACACGTCCCATGGGTGCTGCCTCAGCCTCAATAAACTTTATTTAAATACACACAGACATACACAGACAATATACAGATATTTGTTTCTTCTCTGAAAGTTCTACAGGACTGACACCGCTTTGGATGACACTCATGGAGAATTTTAAAAAGTGCAGCAAATGTATGAAAAATAAAACTCTTTTAATGGTGGTCATCCACAGAAACAACAATGGATGCATGTTCAACCAGGCGGGCACATGGACACGGCTCCACACATAGTACATTGGCTCTGAATAAGCATCTCCACATACATTGTGTCTATATAAATGTACAACAGTCTCATAAGACAGCAAGGAACAAAATCAGATTAGTATGGACGTGGCACACCCTTGCTCTCCCAGCTATATGATCCACTGTCCATGTACTAATGTGACTTTGCTAGAATATGGAATGTAAACACAAAACTGGTTCAAACAGACATTTGCACCATCTACTATAGAAATCCCCCACATATGCAACAATGTTATAAAAGGAAAAGTCATCTAGGGGTTCTGGTGACAAGTTACTCAACACCAGCTCCTGCAGATTTGTTATCACCATAACTCCTAAACAGGATTATATGTTTGCTTATCTAATATAGCTACAGCTATCTTTCAACATAGATTGTATGTACAGTACATATACACAGAACATACACAACACACAATATGTATATTTAGGTGTTTTCATGTTTGTACAGTATATCACAGATTATGTGAACACAAAATATATGTACGTGGACCTGTGAGAAATCATTTTATAAAATATTTGTAATACCAAACCAAAAAAACCAACAACAACAAAAACAAATCCCCAAACCTGGAAATCAGTTGAATAAACAAAAATCCCCATTCTTGAAATGGGGCCACCTACCCCCTTGGGTGGCATTACAGACCTTTCTGTTCCCAAGATAAAAGCAGCAGCAAGAGGGTCAGTTTGCATCTATGCTCCCAGAAAACACAAAGCAATACAAGTTGTCAGATTGCAAACTCAGAGTGGTGTCTGTATTCCCTAATTCTGCACTCTCCCTCTCTCCCTCACTACGGTGTAAGAGACTCTGCCAGCGGCACAATATTTAACCTGCAACAGATGTACTAGAATAAATCTACTGACTGCAGTCCAGAACTGTTGTCTCCTATCACTTAGAACCCAGCTTCTGAATTATAGCTTTTTATTTAAAACAATCTTTTTATTTAACAAAAAATTGTTTCCACTGTACCCTTCACGTGTCCTCTTCCTAACGTGACAAACCCGGAGGAGATGAAATTGTGGAGATCTGGCCCTCCACTTCGATAAATATCCTTCCCATAGTGACCTGCCAAGGCAAATGACAACAAGCAAGGCATTACTCAACATATCCATTACACTATGCATCCACATTAGCCCCAAGTCAATGAGAGCCAAAGCCCCGTTATATAGTGAGACAATAAAAAGCAAGCGAGGACGTGAGAGGCATAGAGAGTTCAGAGAGCAGGAATATCTAAACACAACACAAATAGAGTGTGAATTGCAGAGGAGCTGCCAGGGGTTACAAACACTTAACTGATACCAAAATAGGTTCAAATACCAAAACCATGGACTCAAACACCCCACACTTTAGGAATTAGGCCCATCTTTAGATGAAAGATTCAGCAGCATTGGGACGAGGATCCCAAAGTGATCAAAACTGTCCAGACCTTTGAGACTGAGAAACTGGGCTGGAAATCTTGTGAGAAACAGCTCTGATTCTTCCCGATGCCATCTAGGCTGGGGGAACCCTAAATACACCATTCCTGATGTGTATCAGTGCTTCTGCTCTCAAATATTTTGAGCTTCCAGGCTTGTCTCACTGAAAAGTGACATTGGTATAGCTATGTCTCTCCAGGATGTGAAATATCCAGCCTGACCTAACCCCTGGTGTAGACAGTGTTAGGTCAATGGTAAAATTCTTCCACCAACCTAGTTACTGCCTTTCAGGGAGGTGGCTTATCTACAGTGATGGGGGAATCCCTCCCGACACTGCAGTAAGTATCTGCACTGAAGTGCTAAAGCAGCTGCAGCTGAGCCGTTGTAGTGTTTTAAGAGTAGACGTAGCCTCAGAATTACTCTGAGTTTAGTTAGAGTTCATGAGGAAACTGTAGATGTCTCCCTACGCTATCCAAATGGGTTTCCCTGTCCCTATTAGAGATGTGGCTGGAGAACCTGCTTCTTAGCTTTGACTTGTTCTAGCTGAGATAATGACATTGGACATTGGAGGAGGGGGTCCCCAGACTCCTTCTTACTGCTTTTGCTGGCTGAAAAGCACTTCCTTGGTGCTGCCACCCAGTTGTGACAGTTAACACACAGGAAAAAGCACACCCCTGACATTGGCTGCCTCTTTAATACCCAGAGATTCTGCCTGTGCCTCCCCGAGACTATGTGTCACTCTGACACAAGAGCAAAATCAGCTGCTTGTGAACGCCTCCCTTTTCCATGTTTTTAATTCTTCTGTTCCTCTTCTTGAACAGAGTCGCAAATGAGACTGGAGCCAGTGGGAGGAGAGGGAAGCACGGTTCAGCGGGGCGCAGCAGTTTTCTTTTTTGTCTGCATTTTCGTGATGCCTTGGAGTCTAGCTACAACAATGACTGACACGCTATCAGTGCCTAAGACAGGCAGATATTTTTTCATGTAAATAGGGATAAAAAAGAAATATGCACATATGCTATTACATCTAACTGATGGCTGTGATTTATACATCGCCTCTGAGCAACTGCTTGAGTCAGAGATCAGGCAGTGAAAGAGTATGAAATAGTACAGACTGACTGGAAGATTAAAAGATTGTTTGCTAGTTTGTTCTCTAACCCTTGCCACCCCCTCTTTGGTGCAACATACGAGTTAAACTGAGAGTTTCCCATGATAACAAAACAACATCATTTGAACAGAAATCATGTTTCCTCAAGAGCAGCCTGTCTCAGGACAGTTCAAATGCCAGTAGTTATTTCTTTTTACAGATACATTACGGGATGATGTGTCTATTTTATGTATTCCTTTATTCCCACTCACTTCTTGTCATTTCTCATGGCCTCCCAATGTAAAATTACTGATATATGAGCTCTCACTTTCAAAAGTGCCTAGAGGAGAGCTAGCGGGACAATCATAGCAGCTATTATTCACACAGACATTTTTATAATCACCACTTGATTGGAATGGTTCACACTGAAACTGAATGCCATTCCCAGTCCATCCCTTCTCTGCAGGCCCAAGAGCTCAAGGAAGTACAGATGTGGTGTGTAGAGAAAGCAGAGGTATGTGAAATACTCAGGGAAATGAAAAACCAGGCAAAATCCTGGCTTATTTCACATTTCGTGACCTACTCACAAATAGCTTCTTTTCTGAAAAAAAAAAATGTTGTTTACAGACATGTATTTTTCCAAATGCAAAGGGGCCAGTTTTGAAAAAACCTGATTTTGTGTCTCACCATTGCAGGAATTATCCAATGACTGGAAATACAAAAGTAGCCATTCCATTGATGTGCTAGGCACAGCAAGAGGGCAGAAATGTTCATGCCAAATACTTCAAGAAGATGCTGGATTTTTCCCAGCTCTCCCGGTCACCCAGCAGGTTTCATAGTGTGTGGTACCACTCTCATCAGCTGGCATCAGAAGGGGTTGGAAATATGAAGAAGCACTGCCTGGAATTATCACCCCCAGGATTAAGACTTCATCTTTGCCAGAGCCATGATATTCTCAAACCAAAATGCAATTCCGAGATTCTCCTATGGTTTTGCCGCCATGAACAGGCAATTACTGGGTAAGACTCCTCCAGGAATGTTTGCGACGTGTCTGTCTGCACAGCTCCAGTGGTCTGGAGTGACAGAGTAAGGTGGGTTTTTAAATTGTGTTAAGGAATCTTGATTGGAAAATAAAGAGGTCTGTTTTTTTTCTTTAAGCACAGGCTGACCCTGGGACTTCTTGCCCTTTTCTCTGTAAATTTTATGATTTCTGCAATTTCTCCCCTGTCAAAGCCAAGACGTTCCTCATCTTTGGCTTTAACAATCAGACAGCCTGCCCTCCCTGCCTACAGTGACCAGATAGCAAGTGTAAAAAATTCGGACGGGGGTGGGGGGTAATAGGTGCCTATATAAGAAAAAGCCCCCAAAATCAGGACTGTCCCTATAACATCAGGATATCTGGTTGCCCTATCCCTGCCTACTGTTGGTGTCTGTCCCTTTTCTTTCACTTTTCATATATTCTGCTATAAGCTGTAGGTCTAAGGCAGCCTTTCTCAAATGCGGCGACCAGGGGATTTTTCTGCAGTGCCCAGGAGCTCCAGGGGCAGACCTCAGCACCCCCCACATGTCTTCAACCACAGGACTCTGGGGTCAGGCTTCAGATCCTCCATCCCTCCCTTTTTCAGCCACGGGATTCTGGGGGTGGGCTTCAGGAGGGCTGACCTTTCCAGATGCTGTGGTCAAGAGGCAAGAAGCGGGATGAGCCTGGGGTGTGAGGCTGCCTGGGGCACTGGCAGGGATTAGCAGGGCCTGGGTGGAGCTGGGGAGCCCAGTGGTGTGGGGGGGGGTCCCGGGGATGGGGGGAGGCAGCGGGGGCCAGGGGCCCCAATTACAACTGTACATTATTTTTATTATTGAGTCTTACATAAATAAATTACAATGATTTGGACATCTCTATGTGCACATTTGTTTGTTTTTCCTAAAATTAATTAAGTATTTTAGGAAAATTTGTCAGAGCAGCCACCAGCAAGAGTTGCTGGCCATACACTGTGGCCACCAAAAAATTGGTTGTGAGAATCCCTGGTCTAAGGAGTTCTTAGGTTTTTGAGCCTTGAGCCATGGTGTCTCCTGGGTTCATATCCCAGCTGTCCTGGGTGTGGTCACTTCCTGTTCCCGCTGCTGGGAAGGAGTGAATCTTTGCTTGTCAAACTGCCCTCCCCTCCAGCTCCCCACTCATCAGCCTGCCCATGCGTGGGCATCTGACCCGCCCAAAAGAGGGCAGAGCATAGGCCTGACACAACTACCCCGCCCCCATCCCCTCTGACCAGAATAGCGTGAGCCTGTCCCTTTACCTTGGTCTGTCCTCTCTCTGTTGTCTGTCTGTCTTTCTTTGGTTGGCTGGGGACATTCTTTTAACAAAATCACAGCTTCGCAGGTAAGCTGAGCACTAGAGCTGGGCAATAACTGGTTGTTCAGCTCACTGGCATTTCCAAAAGAAATGGGAAACATATTTGGTTTGAGTTGAACCAAATCCAGTGCTAGGCCATAAATGACCATTGTGATCGGCCATTTTGACCTCCTGCGTAACACCGGCCAGGGACTTAACCAGGGACTCCTGCATCAAGCTCAGTCACTACTAGAGTATCTCTTTGAAAAAGACTTCTAATCTTCACTGAAGTTTTTGGATGTCTTGTTTGCCAGGTACTGTGTAGGGTTCCTCCAGTCTGGGGTTCCTTGGGCTGCTCACAGGACATTTTCCCTTTTCATCTCCACCCCAAGAAAATCAATTAATTTAAACCATTGTATCCTACAGCAAGTGTCCACACAGAAAGCCACCTCCTTTGTTGTCCCCCCTGTCCCCAAGCAGTGGGTGGTGCATTCCAGTGGACAGGGTAGTTCAGTAGGACTCATGAAGACACAGGTTCTATTCCTGACTCTGCAGCTGGGTGACCTGGGGCAAGTCACCTCGCCTCACTGTGCCTCAGTCTCCCCATCTTAAAAATGGGTTACCACACTTGTGAAGCACTCTGGGGTCTGTGCTGAAGAAGAGCTATGTTTTATTATTATTAAATCAGACAGCACATTTTTCTTCCACCCTCAAAGCAGTCACCCACATATCTTGATCTCCTTACAGGGAGTACAGTACTTTGTTACACAGTACTCCTCTAGCCAGGCTGAGTCTTTAAGGTCTAGTTCTTTCATTCCATATAAAATCTAACAATGCTGCTTTTGATTACCACGTTCGACTCTCCATCAAATACTCTCTCTCCATCGCGTGCGCACACGCACGCACACACACACACACACACACACACACAAGCTTGGGAAGGCCAGTGTGTGGCACTGGAGAGAGACAGGGGGATTAACCCTTATGTTACTGCAATTTTCAACAGATGGAGTTCAAGCACAGAGGAGAATGACTCCCCTCCCAGAAGATGCAGGACCCAGGAAATGCAGAGTGGATGAGTGGTTTTGCTCACCAGACAACAAAGGCAGACTCTTTAGGGCATGCAGAACATTTCTTTGCAACTGCATCCTAAGTAAATTGCATATGGAATGAACTTGGTTATGAATAGCAATTACAACTCCAGTTCTAGGACAACAGAATTATTAGAGCTGAACTAAAATGCTGTTATCTACCTTTCAGAAATGTTATTACTAAATAAGGATTACATTACTCAGGAGAGGGATATAAGGGCTTTCACGTATAGAAGAGAGGCATTTGGGTGATACATGTTGGAATTACATGCCACTGTTTATAGGATTCCCTAAAAAAAATATAAAACTAGGAATGAGAGGTCAAGCTCCAAATTGCTTAATGAAAACATCATGCTCACATACATCTTAGAAGAGCAAAATGTCATGGGGGGTTTTAGGGAATAAAAGATGCAGCCCATCTGTGGTGCATCTCAGTTCTGCAGGAGTCTTCTCACTGGCCAATTTTAAACATTTCAGGGACTGGAGACAAAGTATGTCAACGGCGCAAACAATTCTAAGGTGTGTGTTAGATGCATGCACAGAAAAATGCTATGCATTCCCTTGGAACTGAAAAATGACATCTATTTATCTTGTCAATCCAATGTAGTGATCTCTGAAGGTAAGAAGAGATGCAACTCAGAGCAAAAGAAAATAATTCTCTGGGCTAGTGCAGAGTTGCTGAAGAGCATGGAGCACCCAGGCAAAACAGTTATTGCAGCTGACCACCAAGAATCACCCGTTTGTGGAAAGTAGCTGCAGTAATTGGCCAGCATTAGACAGGGCTCCTGGCTGAAGGCTACCCTCCCACAGGGACTTGTTTATAGTCAGGTCAGACATTTTGCTATTTTACCACAGCATGGGAGGGTAGATTACCAGAGATTACAATGATAACAAGGTGCCCCAGAGGGATCACACACAAGGCAGCTGTGCGTTTCTAAAATCTTCTATCAGAAAGGCACGATTAGGGTATTTCTCCAGTTTTAATGGCATTTGTTCCAAGATTGCTGTGTGGATCCCATGCGTGAAAATGCAGCAACAAAGAACCAGGAAGAACTCAGGGTAGGCTAGGGAGAGAGCAGTTTGGCAATACTTCATATCCCTGCCCTTGATCCTGGGGATGCTCTTGTCAACACTCACTTCCCAGTGCACAGAGCTGGAGGTGCTGGAATTGTTCCCTAATCTAAATTACACTAGTAAGGCTGCAAGGCAGCTTCAGGAATACTGAGTGTCTGCCCTAATTCACATACGCTGTGAATATGAATGACCACATCTGCATAAATTCACACCATCTCTCAAAGATTTCTTCCATCTTTGCCTCCCCTTTGAGCTTCCCTATCCTGCCTCCAGCTGGCTGCATCCTCCCTTGAACCTTGAGTTTCTCCCCACCCCCCTCTGCCTCCCCTTTCCTCCCTCAAGTCCCCACCTCCCATCTACCCTCCACCCCACCACACCCCAGAGCTCTCCCCTCATGTGTTCCCTGACCATAAAGACCCTGCCAGAGCACTGACTCTAACTTCAGCCCACCTGTGGCCATAGAGATGGGGCTTGGGCAGCCACTTGCACAGCACCCCCTACCCAGTGCTCTAGTCCTAGCTTTCCGGCCATGGGCATGTCGGGGGCTGTCCTCTAGGCACAGATCCCACTGCTTCAAGGCCTTTGTGATTCTCCTGAAACAGAAGACAGACTCTGGGGTTTGAGCTAGAGAGACAGAGCAGCCCTGCCAGGCTGGCTCTCCCATGGACTGCCAACAGGGACTGTGCCCAGGGGCCTGGCCTGGCTGGAGTGGGGGTGTGGGGCTCAAAAGAAGCAGTGACCTGAGGGCCCAATTTTCAGAGGTGCTGAGCACCTGTATCTAGCACTGACTTAACCTGGAGTTGTAGGTGCTTAGCGCCTTTGAAAATCAGGCCTGTAACTTGACACAAACACAGCACAGGCTCACCACAAACTCCCTGACCTGAGCTTAGCTTTGGGTTCAGCACAGAGCCTGAAGGCAGCGAGCTCTCCAGCACTGCTAGCCACAGTCAAAAGTTTGAGTCAGGTCCCCACAATCATGAGACTGACCTGGAAATCAGGAGAGCTGTTGGTTTTGATAATGCCTTTTTTGGGGGGGATGGGGGAGGTATTTCCCTGCTGGTTTCTGAACATTTAGAGAGCATGCTAGCATTTCTCTATAGCCAGCTGCTTGCTTTTACTGAAAGCTGGGATATTCACATCTTCTGGACCTTACGAAAAAAGCCAAATATTGCCAGATTCATGAGAAAGTCATTCACTCTGAAGGTCAATAGACTTGGGGTAAAATATTCAAAAGTGCCTGTGTGACTTAGGAGCCTGAGTGGGCCTGAAACTCCATGATTCCCTCTTAATTCAAGGGCAGTCTGGCTTGAGTGCCTCTGCCAATTGCAAGTGTAGCACTATGGCCCTTTCCCTGCTGAAGTCTAGTACTGGATTAGAGAGCATGCACAACTTGCCAAGCAGCAGGCTAGGGAGGTCATGTGCCAAGACCAATCCTGCAGCACTAAATTGTACAAACACTAACGATGCATTAATCCCTAATCATTCTTATGCAACCCTCAGTGCATCAAATTCCAAATAAGTAACATGGAGGCGGCTCAGACTGTACGGTTACAGTTTGTACTTCAAGCATTGCCTGGTTTATTTGTACAATTACTATATGTATCTGCATATTCCTCCCCATCAGACTTGATCAGAGAACCCCAGATGTTTGAGTAAAAGTTCATGTCCTTATTTGGCATAACCCAATTCAAGTCTCCCTCTCTCTGAATTGGCCTGAAACTGAACCCAAGCCTCCAATGCGGCAGGTGAGACTTCTGAACACTAATGCTCTGTCTAGGTCTTGTAATACTCTCACCTCCACATTTACTGTACAATATCCCCTTGTGGACATTTAATAGAGATTGAGAACAGTTTTATACCAGTCCAGGAAATCTGGGATAAAAGTATCCACAGATTGGTTTACAAGTTCTATAGCAAGCATCTCATTCACAATTCCATTCTAGAGGTTTTACAGTAATGTCTACAGATCCCTGTTTATTTCCTCTAGCACCCAATTGGTATCATCCACGTCACGTTCTATTGGATTTTCTAGGCTCGGATTTTCAAAGGCGCCTAACGGAATTAGATGGCTAACTCCTACTGAAATTCTATATAGAGTGCAATGTGTACTTAGAGGGCCGCTGTGGTAAAAACGCTAATCAATTATGCCACCAAGAAGAGGTTGGAAGTTAAAATCCAAATCAATGCAATTGCCCAAGCTGCTCACCTCAATTTGTCATGCGTTGCTTCACCTGTGATTG